GCATGCGCCCGCCGTTTCGGGGGAGGAGGAAGATGTCCGGGGCAACAGAGGGATAGAATGCAAAGCGTGCGCCCGCCCGCCCGCCCGGGCCACGGCGCGGGCGCGCCGGCGCCGGTATCGATCGCGTCGGGCGCTGTGGGGGGCGAGCCCGCCCCGGCCGCCGCCGCGATGCAGCCTTTGTAAGGCTTTCCGCGATGAGAGCCGGGCCTGGGGGGTCGCGGCCAGGGTGACGCCGCGCGCGGGGGCGCCGACGCGACCGGGGGGTTGCGCGCGGCGGCGAGAGGGTCCGGGCAGGGGCCGCGGGCCGCTCTGCCGCCGCTGCTTCGCGGCCGGCGATGGTTCGCGCGCGGGGACGTCTCGGCCGCCCGAGCTGCTTGGGCCCGGGCGTGCGCCCGTCGCGATGGCGGTCCGCTCCAATGGTATGGGAGGCGGCCGGCCAGGCGGGGTGCGCGCGCGCGAGGGCCCGGCTGCGCCCGCCGCAGGGGGCGCGCAGGGGGAGAGGGTAAGGGAGGGGCTGGGGCCCGCGTTTTGGACAGGGGCGTGCAGAGAATGCGCGCGCCGGGCGCCTCACAGGCACGGCCGGCGGGCGGGAAAGAAGGGAGGGCGGGGCGGCGCGGGGCGCGGGCGAGCCCCGCCACACGCGGCGGTCGCACCCGCTCGTCCCGCGGCGTGTGCGGGGGCCGCGTGGCCCTGCACCGCCTGCCGCCACGGGGGTGTTGTCGCGGCGGGCGCTCCGGCGCGCGGCGCGGGCGCAGCGCTGGGGGTGTCATCGTACAAGAGTTGCGGCGCGGGGGCGTCCGCGCGCGCGCGCGCACATGCACGGCAAAGAGCGCGCGCGCGCGGGCGCCCGGCGCTGCCTATGGGGTCTGGGCACGAGGGGGTGGCAGTGCGAAAAAGGGGGGCAATGAGAGGGCCCCGGGTGGGGCCGGCCGCGGCAGGGGGCCGCGGGTGCAGTGCGGGGCGCGAGGGCGCGCGCAAGTGGCGGGGAAACAACGACAGGGCCCGCGGCTGACGGCAGCGGGGCAAGGGGAATCAAGGGTTATCGCGTAAAAGGGGGGATCAAGACAGGGCATGGGGGCGGGCCACTCGGGACTGAGGCGGCCACGGGGCGCCATTGCAAAGCGGCGCGGGGGGCGGGCGCCGCGCGGCGCCGGGCGAGCGCGCGGGGGCAGGCGCGGGCCGCCCCCCGCGGGGTGTGGGAAGGGGGCGCGGCCGTGCCTTGCGAGTCCCTTGTGGCTGCAACAACATGAGGGGCCGTCAAATAGGGAGGGGCCGGCCGGCGGCGGCGGCGGCGGCAAACACACGCAAACAATCGCGGCCGGCACGGGGCGGCACAGGCAAGCTCGGGCGCGCGGCCGCCGCGCGCTGGGGGCGGCGGCGCGCGCCCGCCCGGCGGCCGGCTGGAGGGCAATAAAAAGATGGACAGCGCGCGTATTCGCACGGCTTTCCCAAACCCGGGTGTCTCTATCGTCGTCTCTTTCCTCAGTCCTCAGTCCTCTGGCTTCTTCGGTGCTCTCCTCTGGGCCCTGTGCCAATCGGTATCACGCCACGTCACAACCTCATCAGTCACATCACATCACATCAGACGGCCCGGCGCGCTGCAAGGGGCTGCGCAGCAGGAGGGGCCAGGGGGGCGAGGCCCCTGGCAGGCAGCACGCG